TAAAAAACCCACCCCCAGGAGGAGAGTAGCTCCTGCTGGTGCACTGTCTACGCTGCCACTTTACAGCGCTGAAACTTGCATTGCTCAGAGGGGTGTTTTTTCAGCGCTATAATACGCCAGCGTAAACAAGGCCTGATGCCCAACTGCCCAGAGTCGCAGCAGGGCCCTCAGAGACGCGTGTGTGAACGGCGTCGCACCGGCGTGAGGTTGGTGAACACCCTAGGGTGGGGAGCGTCTCTGTGCCAGGCTGGGGGACACCCGGGGGGGGGTCTCTGTAGGCCCTAGGTACCCCCACCTGCACGCCCTATCCCAGCCAGGCGCCCAGCGCTCACACAGACCCAGCTGTTTCCCACCTAAAGGAAAGCCAGGCCCCTTCCCCACAGACTGGCCAGGGAGCAGGGCAGCCCCAGGGGAACACCAGTGAGCTCTAGCTCACAAAGCTCATGCTCAAATAAATTGGCTAGTCTCTAAGGCGCCACAAGTCCTCCTGCTTTTTTTGCAAATACAGACTAACCCTGGTCTACACTAGGACTTTAGTCGAATTTAGCAGCGTTAAATCGATGTAAACCTGCACCCGTCCACACAATGAAGCCCTTTATTTCGACTAAAGGGCTCTTAAAACGATTTCCTTACTCCACCCCTGACAAGTGGATTAGCGCTAAATCGACGTTGCTGGCTCGAATTTGGGGTACTGTGGACACAATTCGATGGTATTGGCCTCCGGGAGCTATCCCAGAGTGCTCCATTATGACCGCTCTGGACAGCACCTCAACTCAGATGCACTGGCCAGGTAGCAGGAAAAGAACCGCGAACTTTTGAATCTCATTTCCTGTTTGCCAGCGTGGCAAGCTGCAGGTGACCACAAGCTCATCAGCACAGGTGACCATGATGGAGTCCAGAATCGCAAAAGAGCTCCAGCATGGACCGAATGGGAGGTACGGGATCTGATCGCTGTTTGGGGAGAGGAATCCGTGCTATCAGAACTCCGTTCCAGTTTTCGAAATGCCAAAACCTTTGTGAAAATCTCCCAGGGCAGAAGGCAGAGGCCATAACAGGGACCCGAAGCAGTGCCACGTGAAACTGAAGGAGCTGAGGCAAGCCTACCAGAAAACCGAGAGGCGAACAGCCGCTCTGGGTCAGACCCCAAACATGCGCTTCTATGATGAGCTGCATGCCATTTTAGGGGTTCAGCCACCACTACCCCAGCCGTGTTGTTTGACTCCTTCAATGGAGATGGAGGCAATACGGAAGCAGGTTTTGGGGACGAAGAAGATGATGATGAGGAGGAGGTTGTAGATAGCTCACAGCAAGAAAGTGGAAAACCGGTTTTCCCGACAGCCAGGAACTGTTTCTCACCCTAGACCTGGACCAGTACCCCCGAACCCACCCAAGGCTGCCTCCGGACCCACAGACGGAGAAGGGACCTCTGGTGAGTGTACCTTTCATATCATAGAATCATAGAATATAAGGGTTGGAAGGGCCCCAGAAGGTCATCTAGTCCAACCCCTGCTCGAAGCAGGACCAAATCCCTGTTAAATCATCCCAGCCAGGGCTTTGTCAAGCCTGACCTTAAAACCTCTAAGGAAGGAGATTCTACCACCTCCCTAGGTAACGCATTCCAGTGTTTCACCACCCTCTTAGTGAAAAAGTTTTTCCTAATATCCAATCTAAACCTCCCCACTGCAACTGAGACCATTACTCCTCGTTCTGTCATCTGCTACCATTGAGAACAGTCTAGAGCCATCCTCTTTGGAACCCCTTTCAGGTAGTTGAAAGCAGCTATCAAATCCCCCCTCATTCTTCTCTTCTGCAGGCTAAACAATCCCAGCTCCCTCAGCCTCTCCTCATAAGTCATGTGTTCCAGACCCCTAATCATTTTTGTTGCCCTTCGCTGGACTCTCTCCAATTTATCCACATCCTTCTTGAAGTGTGGGGCCCAAAACTGGACAGTACTCCAGATGACGCTCACCAATGTCGAATAGAGGGGAACGATCACGTCCCTCGATCTGCTCGCTATGCCCCTACTTATACATCCCAAAATCCTTTTCTTGGCAACAAGGCTACCATATCACTTCCACTTCCCCCTAGTCCTTTCAAACTCCTACCTTGTCCCTATCTTATTCTTTTTCGCCTAAGTCACCCCACTTATCCTTATTGACCTCATCTTTCTTCCCTCCTCCATTTGTCTATCCTTCTTATCCTTCCTCCTCCTTCTACCCTCCTCCCATTTATTCACATTTGTCAACCCCCTCTTAAAGAAACCAAACCCACCACACTACACCCTCCCATCTCTTTCCCCTTATATCTTTCCCTCAACACAAATATAAAATTCTAAATCAAAAACATACTCCATTTCCTTTATTCAAAAAATCATTCCTTTATCCATTTTCTTCCTTTTCTCCTTCAGTGTTCTTTGGGATCCTGTTTTTCAGGCCCTACCCATTCCTCTTCCTTTTTAACTCTTTCTCCCCCAAGATACCTCACACCATTCCTCTCCCCCTATTCTTTTTAAAATCCCTAACCACCTCTATTCCACCCTTTTCCCTTTTAGGCCTTGTTAGAAAAAAAAAGTACATACTTTTTCTCTTGTCACTATCTCTCTTAAGGGCCCACATTCCTTCTTTTTCTTGTCCAACACCAAAACTTCTAGTATGAAAATAATTACCTTTTAAAATATATATTTAAAAGAATGAAAGGTTATTTCCTCTTTTTCTATGTAAAGTAAGTTTGGACCTTCATAAACCACTATAATCTAGAAAGTTATTTTCTCATCAAAACCTATCTCTCTGGTTATCCTCAGAGTATAATTCATCACTGTTGAAAAGAGTTTTTTTACCATTTTTTTTGTTGGCTAAAAATGTTCCGTTTACAGGGGGAAGGTTGAGGGGGTTCTGGGGAAAGCCTTGTAGAAAGAAGTGTATGTATGTAATGTTACAAGTTTCTGAAAGATATTTTTATAAAATTGTCTTTTAAATATTCCCTTTTTTTTCCATTTTCATTCCATCTTCCTCCAGTTGAGAAAAAAAAACTACATTTCTCCAAATTGTAGAAATGACAGGGTGGGAAGAGAAGTGGGGAAGAGAGTAAGTTGAAGAGGAAGAAAGGTGTGAGAGAGGATTACTAGTAGACAAAATATGTCATATGGTGAGCAAAACAAACAGACCATGTCCCCTCTAACCAACCCTCCTCCCAATTCCACCTCCCCCCCAAAATGGGGGCCCCCCAACCACCACCCCCCAAGGTTCCCCAAAAAAAGATTAATAAATTTTAAAGTTGTAAATTTTAAAGTGTTTAAAGTGCTTGTGCATTTTCCTCCTCCTCCACCACCCCTCCTGCTACTTGTAGTCCCCTATTTGGGGAAGAAAAGAAAAAGTTTATTCTCAAGGGGGGTGGGCACAGGAAGAGGGATGGAAATCTGCCCAGTAATTTTCAAGTCTCCCTTTTCTACCCTCACCCCCCTATCTCCCCTTCTCCTATATATCTAGACCCCTTCCCATAACCTCCTCCTTTTTTTTCTTTCTTCCCTACCAAGTAGGCCACACCCCCCTACTACTCCCTCCTACCCTTCTTTTGTTCCCCCCACCCCTTCCCTTCATTTTTATTAATCAATCCAAGCCCTTACCATCACACCCACTCAACACTACCCCATTTGCCCCTACCCCCCATTACCTCTTTAAAATCCTGTCACTCAACCTCCTCTGTTTAGTTTGGATAGTTATGGTGGTGTTTATTCCCTACCAAGTGATTTTTAAAGGGGTTTTTTGAAGGGGGAATAAGGGTTTAGGGAATAAGGGGGTGCCTAAAGGAGTATTTCAGCAGGGATAAGAAATCTATTTGTTTTATTGGAAGGAGTTACTGATTGATATAATTTACCCGTTTTTTAGTTGTAGGGATGCCCTAGCAGGGGGGGGTGGTAAAAAAATGTTATTTTTGTTCTGACCCACTCCATCTATCTTTTATCTTTGAGTGCAAGAACATCTCATGTTGGAGAAGATAAAACCATCCTCATCTCTTGCCTCTGGAAGATGGTACAATAGACTGCTAGCAATCCTCATCTCTTGCTCTGGAAGATTACATATACTAAGTCCATTCGTATAAGAATAGGACGAAGAAAAAAGATAATCCTCCAAATTTAGTCCTACCCATTCCACCTACAATGTAATCTATTAGTTTAAGAAGGGGTTTTATTTAGAATGAGTAGAAGGAGCATAGGGACTATAGGATTTATTATGTGATAATAGGAAAAAGAAGATTGTCTCCCTTTTTAGGAGGGAGGGAGGGGGGCCTGGATATGTACCCAGAACAGGAAATGTTTTAGCCATCAGCATTGAGATCTCAACCAGAATTAATGGGAGTGGAGATGGGGAATTGGGATAGCTACCCACATAAGGGAAGTGACTACGTATGTGGAGTCACTGAGTTAATGACTAATGACTAGAGATTTTCTGTGGGGACACACACTGAATATATAAAACGATTTCTAAAAACGACTTCTATAAATTGACCTTATTCCGTAGTGTAGACATACCCTAACAGGGCTGCTGCTCTGAAACCAGTTCAAGCCAGGGCACGTGCTGCGGGCCCGCCGGCTCCCCACCCCCTGCTGTAACCCAGCGCTCTCCCACCCCCGGCCTTCTCCAGGCGGCGGAATCAGCGGCGCTGCTGCACCAATCACGCTCCGCAAGGGAGGAGTAATGAAACTGGCCGAAAAAAGGCCCGGCGGCGCTGATTCGTACAGCCAATGGGTGTGCGCGTTATATGAGAGGCCGGCTCTGCGGCCAATAGATGTTAGCGAGCTGTGTGTGCGGGATAGAAGCACCCAATAACTGAGAGCGTTCGATGAGGGGCAGGCGCCGTATCCAATGGGTGCGTCAGTGACCGCGTGGGCGGATTTTTAGAAGCCAATGAGTTTGCACGTCGCGTGACGGTCAAGCTCCGCAGCCAGTGAATGAGCTAGTGGGCGGTGCATGCGGGGTGGCTAGCCGGTGCGGGCCGCCATTGTGGTCAGTTCGATCGGTATCGGGAGCGGAGAGCGGAGCCCAGCGAGCCCGGAGCAGGGAGCAGCCCCCCCCACGGCCGGCCCCAGTCACCATCACACCGCGGGAGGCGGCGCAACAGCCAGTCACCACCACCGTCCGCACCGAACAGCCGCCGCCATGAGCAGCGAGGCCGAGACCCAACCGCCCGCCGCCCCTCTCCCCGCGGCGGCCCCCACCGCCCCCGCCGAGTCCAAACCCAACGGCGGCACCGGCAACGGTGGCAGCGGCCTGGCCTCGGCGGCGCCCCCCGCCGGCGGGGACAAGAAGGTCATCGGTGAGGGGGGGTGATGTGGAGGGGCGAAAGGGGAGGGGTCTGTGGGCGTCATCTCTCCTCCCCCACAGGAAGGCGCGAGACCCCTTCCTGGTGCGCGCGCAGTGGCCGTTGGGCCCCGCGCGCCGCCTGAGTCGTTGGGCCCCGCGTGCGGTGGTGGATGGGGCGGGGCTGGCGCGGAGAGACTCAAAATGTCCGCCACGCGTGGCCTTTGTGTGAGACCCACTTAGCCACGTGCCCTCCCGGGACCCCAGCGCGCAACGCTCCGTGAGGCCTGGCCGTCCTGGAGTGCGCTGGCCGAAGGGTCCGGCCGGTGGGGAGGGGGCCGAGCCCGTCTCACTGGCGCGGTGGGAACCTGGCTCAGCTGCCCGGAGATGGGGGCGATGCGTCATGTGACATGTTCGGTTTTTTCTTTCAGCAACGAAGGTTTTGGGAACAGTAAAATGGTTCAACGTAAGAAACGGCTACGGTTTCATCAACAGGTGAGGAAGGAGGTGCCATGTGCTCGGTGACCAGGGGTTCAGGGGCGGGATGGTGTCCTGAGAGCAGGGTGGGGACCGTGGGAACACTTTAGACAGAGTCACTGTATCTGTCACTCTGTTCGCTGACCAGGCCTCATCTGACACATCTACTGGCTTTCAGATGAGTCTTTACGAAGCTTTTCAAGTGGCTTAGTGCTGAGATGACTAGCCTGGGGAATGGACTGAGACTGGGTTGGTGGGTTTGGTGGCTGCTGCAGAACTTCCCCAGGGAGACGTTTTGACTATTCAAGTACATTGTAGTCATGGCTTTTTTTCCTCCCAACACTACTCACATTAGGTTTATTCTTTCACATTTTTCTGTCTTTAGTTTTCCATCAAACCAGGTAAGAAATCCAATCATAGTAATTCCCCGTGTCCCTGCCTGCTTTCCCTCAGGACAGCAGGACTAGAGCAGTGGGCTGTCATCACAGCCTCCTCCTTTGGTATGTGGCAAGACGCTTGTCTGCAAGTGTTGTTTTGGCTGACGTTCTGGATATTTCCAAACAAACATTGGACCCAAGTGTAGTTACAGTTTCAATAACATTTTTGGGAGCTGTAGGGAATAATGTGTGTGGATCAGGTGTGACCTGATCACTCTGTCTCATGGGGCTTTTCACAGAAGTGGTAAGTTGTTAATGCAGGTATCCCCTCTGTATTCCACTTTTGTTCTCTTGCAGAGTTTTCAGTAAAGTGGTTTTAACAGGGATATTTAGTCAGTGTTGGAGGTAGTTGATTTTCATATGTAGTGATTTGTGTCTTTGATCCTTTGAGATGAGGTTTAAATGTAAAACAGGTTCATGCCCTGTGTTAATACTTTTTTGATTCTAAGCTGTGTTTAAATGTACAAAAGTGATAAACCTTAGTAACTGTTTTGCATTAGGTATTGATACTTGCATTGGTATTTTTGAAAGTCATTTGACTATAAGCATAGTAATTTATACTGAACCTAGTTTCATTTTTAATTACACCACTTTCAGAAATGTCACTTCTAGAACAAAAACGGAGCATATCAATGCTAACTGAACTACAAAGAGTACACTTAGTAAAATGGTCTGGTCAATAGTTTTATTTTTTAAACTCGTTCAGTTTGCCCTTCTATGCAAAGTTAGATAATTTTTAAATGATCTGTTTTAAACCTGTTGCAGGGAACTTCTAAGATGGCTAACAAATTAGAATTTTTTTCTCCATTTGACAACACTTTGTGTAAACTCCATTTTCACTGTTTGCTCTGTGTTGTCAGTTAGAAAGGGAGACTAACTGAGAAGTCTCCTGTAAAAATACCTCATTAGATTAAAAATGAGCATAAGGAGTTTTCTGAATGAATTTTAAAAAGACCAGCTATATTTTCTAAAGTGTTCGCTATCAGAAAATGAGCTACTTCCAGTTTTTTAAAATATACTAATTTAAAGTATTCCTTGTATCTTGGATTATTTTAATAAGAGCTATGTTTGTTAATACTTGAGATGGAATCTCTAGCCGTGACTCAGTAGAGGTGCTTAAATGCTGGTTGCATTTTAATAAGATGCCAAGTTCCTTTACAGCTCAATTCTGGAAGCCTTCTGCATGTAGGACTCTCATTGAAGTCAGTGGGTGTTTTGCAAACAGAGCTTGCAAAGAGCCCTTAGAGCAGTAATATGGAGGCAAAGAGAATAACTATGTTGTTAATCCATGTATTGCTTTGAAAGGTGTACAGTAGAACCTGGTTATCTGAGAGTCTCGGAATACCTGCCCTCCCCAATAGGGTAATGTGAAATAACACAATGAGCAATTATAATAGACAACAGTTAGTTTTATTGTATAAATAAGATGTTTATTTACTCCTCTTAGTGAACTAGAGCACACACTTCTGCACCATACCACTTCTTGACATCCTAACAGGTTATTGTCTCATTTTTCCTCCCAACACTCCCAATTGTTTTTGCTCTAATTTTTCTTAATAGGATATGTAGGAACTAGTGTTGACAAAGCAAACTACTTTCAATTCCTTATTTATCCAGGAGGGCGCAGGTGTAGGCTCTGATGTGTTCATTCATAAAATTGGCTGGATTATGTAAAAGGTCTAGTAGATTATGTTTAATTGGTTTTGCACATGTATCATTTAAATGTCTGGACATTCCTATAGTTCAAGGGTAAAACAATTCTTATGTACAGCCTTTTAATTCTGTGGCTGAATCTTAAACACCAGACCAAGGAATAGCTGTTTAAATTGTAAGTGCTAGGAACTCTTGACCGTTGCAAGTTCAAAACAGTGGGTTATACATTCTACTTGTAGGGAAAGTATTTACAACTACATTCATTAAAGAAAATTTCACTTAAAAAGAAAATGTAAGTTAATCAAGGAAATTACAGCACATAATATTCTGAACATTCAGATGCCTTTTAACTAACTAATATGAATTGGGCAGCTTCTTCGTCCCTGGAGCTGCTAGTTTAATGAGAAACCCCGCATGATCACATGTTACCAAGACAGGAAGGTTAAAGTTGCAAAAACTAGGAACTTCATGACATTTCCACAACTCTTAGAACAAGACTGTTCTTTCTGGGATCTCTCGTTTACTGTAAGAAAAACATTTCATAAACAGAGCACTTCAGCTATTGCTTGTATTTAATTGCAGATTGTGTTTTTGTAACTCTGATCATCCGGTTTTGATGCAAATATATGTTAGCTTAATGACAGTATGGCTGTCTATTTTATATTTAGTGTTTTACTCTGCAGTGTCATCTTGGGTTCTAAGGATCTTATCAAATGTTTCTCTGTTATAACAGCAATTAGGTCTTCAATGACAGAGGTTGCCCCATTGCCTCAAATGGGGTTGCACATGTATCTGATGATGTATTTGGAACTCCATAGAATTTACTTTGAATACCCACAGGAAATAGACCTCTTAATTAAGAAAGTGCCACTTCTAAACAGTATCTGGATTGTGTAGTGCAAAGAGGAGATGTACACCATAATTAATGGTCTAGAGAACGCAAACAGAGTACTCAGACTTATAACAAAAACACAAGGCGACTTCAGATTATACCAAAAGAGAAGTTTAAAATTGTAAAATTTGTTTACACAATGCATAATTGTGGGGCCAAAAGAAATCTGATGAGGTTCAATAAGGATAAGTGCAGGGTCCTGCAATTAGGATGGAAGAATCCAATGCACCGCTACAGACTAGGGGCCGAATGGCTAGGGCAGCAGTTCTGCGGAAAAGGACCTAGGGGTGACAGTGGATGAGAAGCTGGATATGAGTCAGCAGTGTGCCCTTGTTGCCAAGAAGGCCAATGGCATTTTGGGATGTATAAGTAGGGGCATTGCGAGCAGATCGAGGGACGTGATCGTTCCCCTCTATTCGACATTGGTGAGGCCTCATCTGGAGTACTGTGTCCAGTTTTGGGCCCCACACTTCAAGAAGGATGTGGATAAATTGGAAAGAGTCCAGCGAAGGGCAACAAAAATGATTAGGGGTCTAGAACACATGAGTTATGAGGAGAGGCTGAGGGAGCTGGGATTGTTTAGCCTGCAGAAGAGAAGAATGAGGGAGGATTTGATAGCTGCTTTCAACTACCTGAAAGGGGTTCCAAAGAGGATGGCTCTAGACTGTTCTCAATGGTAGCAGATGACAGAACGAGGAGTAATGGTCTCAAGTTGCAGTGGGGGAGGTTTAGATTGGATATTAGGAAAAACTTTTTCACTAGGAGGGTGATGAAACACTGGAATGCGTTACCTAGGGAGGTGGTAGAATCTCCTTCCTTAGAGGTTTTTAAGGTCAGGCTTGACAAAGCCATGGCTGGGATGATTTAACTGGGAATTGGTCCTGCTTCGAGCAGGGGGGTTGGACTAGATGACCTTCTGGGGTCCCTTCCAACCCTGATATTCTATGATTCTATGATAATTAACTTGATCTCATTGCCAGATAATACCACTTGAGGTAGTTATTTTAGGAGTTAAAGTATTAATGTTTATATGGATAATTAGCAGATTTAGAATTACATTAGGATTTGCAAAAAACTTTTATAAGGATATAAATCTTATACTTCAGGGTGAGCAAACTTCAAAGCAGTGGGTTAGGAAGAAATTTTCCCCAAGGGGAGATTATATTAACTGTCAGCTACTGAATTTCTTGTGGCTTCTTGTGAAGCATTTGGAACTAGCCACTGACAGGATATTGGATTAGATGGTCTGAGGAATGGCAATCCAGAGAAGTGTACTGCACTTTGAACTTTAGGAATCTGTTTTAAATTCTTTGTAGTGATTTTTGACCCTGATCTTGTATACACTTATGCACATGCCTGAGGATTGTGATCCTGTTTGACCCTAAGTCAGTTAACTTTCAGTTCACTGCGATCTTCCTTTAAGGTGACTGGGGGAATTCTAGATCATCTCAAGCCAAATAGGCAGCTGTTGCATATTTCAAAGCCAACTGTGGGTGTTAATCTTGCCAGAAGTAGGCACAAATGACTTTGGCTGGTGAATATGAGAATTCAGCACTATGATCCTGGGGCAGTGCTTTGAGAAGGCTGTCATCTCAGCAATTGGGAAGAGATGAGGTTCTGGGATTTCTAGAAGGATCTTGTCCTGGGATCCTGCTTGAAGGTTTCATCTTTCATATCTTCTGGCCAATAGGTATCTTATTAACTTGAAGCATCACTAACTGTTGGTAAGGTGAAAGTGCTTGTGCTCCTGGAGGCTGTGGTGTGTTGTGACTTTGTTTCTCTGCCTACTGAAACAGTAAAGAGGCTTACAGTGCGGTGCTCTTCCTAGATGTTCTCAGTTTCAGTTTTCCTGCTCCATTAACCCCTGAAGCTCACAGCACTCCCAAGGAATAGCATCATGAACTGTCATATTTGTCCACAGAGTGTGTTTTTCTCACAGTTGCTATATAATAAAAATGGTTCTACACCCATACGTAGCATCAGTATAATATTGGAGATCAGTGTGATGTAAATTATGACCACAAGTGGTCAGTAAAGTTAAGTTTATTAGATGCTCTAAAAATACTAAGTATTTCATATCACAGTGCCTAAGGTGGTCACAGCTGAGAATGCCCAACTCAGGACAGACTGCTGAGAAACAGGGCAGACACATCTCAAACTAGTGGTTAGTCTGTCTTTAGAGTTCACCAAGCCAGTGACAAGATGTGCTCCTGTATCAGTACAGTGGTTAACAAGACAAAAACAAGCCCTCTTAGGCATTCCAGCACTTGGCTCACCACCCATACAGTTGGACTCTGAGAGGTTACTGAAAACCAGATTCATCTCATATAAAGTTCTTCCAATCCCAAGGGACCAGGTCAGTATATTACCCAAAAGTCACTCTTAGAGTCAACCCTTTAGTAACTAACAGCTAAAGATTTAATAACACATATATAAAAAAGTTATAAATGGCTAAGGAAACAGATACATTACAGTTGATTTCAGAGATTGCAGGTCAGGGTCATAGGCGCAGACTCCATGGGTGCTCCAGAGCTGGAGCACCTATGAGAAAAAGTTAGTGGGTGCTGAGCATGCACTGGCAGCCAGCTCCCTCTCTTCCCCCTCAGTGCCAACTGCCCATTGCAATTAGCTGTTCAGTGGCATGCAGGAGGCATTGGGAGGGAGGGGGAGAAGAGGGGATGTGGCATGCTCATGGAGGGATGGAACTGGATGGGAAGAGATGAGGTGGGGGCAGGAAGGGTGGGGCTTGAGGTTCGGGTGGAGTTAGGGTCTGGGGCAGAGCGGGGGTTGAGCACCCTTGGGACTGGAAGAAGCTGGTGCCTATGATAGCAGTGATGTAGATCTGCCATCTTGTAAAAGGTATGGATTCACCCAAACAGATTGGGGATCATTCAGTTCCCTGTTTCAAGCTTCCTTGTTAGAAATCCATTCCAGATATGCGAAGCAGGAGATGAAGAGACAGCAGTGATGTTACGGCTTGCAATTTATAGCCTAACCCCCGTGCATGGAAAGTTAATGGCCTGATATGGAGTCCAGGGTCACATGAGCATGAAAAGTTAATGGTAAAAGATGCCGTCTTAGGTCACGTGTCCTTACGTGGTTTGCTGAATTGCAGGGGGCAGCCATTGGTAAAGAAAACTTACTGCGTGGGATGAGTTTTTTTCAATGGGCCCCTCCTGAGAGTTGAGTGTTCTTAATGAACTATCAACACATAACTGGCTACCCTTGATGTAAATTTATTGGGTGGGGCGAGGTGTAACTCAGGAACACATGTTTGATAGAAATGCATAGCCAGTATTCATAACTTCAGCCACAAAGATGCATATAAACAGAATTATTGTACTTAATAAATCATAATTTTTCTATTGATACCTTACATGGCATACTCTATTAGACAATGCAATTGCACAGTAATGGTGATACATTAGTGATTGTAACAGTGGTGATACATTAGTGTACACTTGGTTATCATTCCTTACATCACATTTCAGTTTTCAGTTTTAGATGAAGTCACATGAGTTGTATTAAGACTACTCCCTCCTTGCAGTGACTGTGTCTCTTGACTGCAGAACAGACATTGAAGTGGCTTTATTTGCTGCTGTATTGCAGTGCATGTTCAGATCTTACTTGTGCACTTTCATTACAGCTTCTGAAGTGACTCCTTTCTACTGAATATTGCTTTGGGGTTTTTGCAGATGTATTGACATACTGAGCTATCCCTCCCCCTGTAGTTTGAGCATTGGCCTGTTAAACCCAGGGTTGTGGGCTCAATCCTTGAGGGGGCCATTTAGGGATCTGGGGAAAAAATTGGGGATTGGTCCTGCTTTGAGCAGGGGGTTGGACTAGATGACCTCCTGAGGTCCCATTCAACCCTGATATTCTATGATTCTATGACTTGGTTGTCCAGATCAAATCTTTTAGTGTCTTCCCATATTTCTGATTTCTTTAGGTTCCTTTGAATAGTGTTTGAAACGCCTCCCCACTGCAAATTTAACATACTACTTTATCTGAAGGGCAGCACACTCATGTCTAGGGAGGAACTTTGACTAGTGCTATCATTCACTGTCCATAAAGACTCATGAAATAAAGGGGGAGTGGGGTGGCAAATGCAAAACTAAATAAAGTTGAATAGGTAGTGTGCCTTTTCTACATTGATGCTACCTTGTCTATCCATTTGCCACCATACAAATGGCTTATGCTGTCTTCTGTGCAACCCCTGTGTACTGAATGTTTTCCCTGATCTGATCGACAAGGCCATTAGCCTCTACATTCAGGTTTCCCTGAAAGACCCACCATTGATGTAACCTGTGAGAGAACTAGCTGGCAATGAAAATCGTGAGTAATTGGGAATAGCAGATAAATTCTATTTTATTTAAATAACAGTAACTCTGTATTAAGATGACATGGCCAGTCATCAGCTTAATCATGCTCCTCTTTTTCTGAGGATTGTGAGCTTGCTGGGAAAAGCACTGATCTTTGTTGGAAAGTATCTAGACACTGGGGCACTACCAGAAATGATTGATTTTAACCATTACCATGCTAAAATTCCCTACAGTTCTCCTCGCCATATCTCCTTTGGACCTGAGTGGGAGTGGGGAGAGAAATGCTATCTGTTAGGAAACTAGTGAACTGCAGGGGGTTGGAAAGGAAGTGGAGGGAAAAAACGACTGAGTTATGCATTATGGAGGGGTAGGAGGGAGATAAACTTTGTGTGAAGTGATTGAAAGAGCATGAGGTAGCGGGCAGTGTGAACACACAAGAGTAAAGGGAAGGAATGATTTTGTTGAGAGATCTCTAAGGCCTAGTGTGCCTACTTTTTAACTAAAGCACCTTGTATGCTTGAACTCTTTGAAATTGACTTATCAGATATTTTTAAAGCACTCTTTTACTTAGTATGTCTTCAAAATGTTTCCTTTTTTCAAAGATATTTGCCACTTTTTGCTTCCTGTGTGTAAAGGGATATCAATTTATCTACTTCTCCCTGCTTAACCTGATGAGTTAGTGCTGTCAAACACTTAAACTCCCAACAACCTCATGTTTCTTGCCAACTTTTTAGTTACAGAAAATTGAAGTGGGGTAGGGTGTTCAAAATATGGCACTTGGGTTGATATCCTTTTAATTTGAACACTAGAATGCAGTTAAGGGGTAGGGACATCACATACAGTGACTCCTCGCTTAACATAGTTATGTTCCTGAAAAATGCTACTTTAAGCGAAAAGATGTTAAGCGAATCCAGTTTCTCCAGAAGAATTAATGTAAATAGGGGGTGTTAGGTTCCAGGCAAATTTTTTTCGCCGGACAAAAGACATATATATACACAGAGACAGTATAAGTTTTAAACAAACAATTTAATACTGTACACAACAATGACAATTGTGAAACTTGGTTGAGGTGGTGGAGTCAGAGGGTGGAGTATTTCCAAGGGAATGCCTTGTTGCTAACTGATGAACTAGCCCTTAGCTAAGACCTCAAGGGTTAACACATTATTGTTAATGTAGCCTCACACTCTACAAGGCAGTAGGAATGAAGGGAGGAGACACAACAGACACATGGCAGTGTCTGCAAATGTTCCCTGTGGAGACTGAATGTTATGATGAACCCACGCTATCCCACTGGAGTGCACCACTCCCTGCACTTTCCAAATGCTGGGGCTTACGTCTGTGTGAGAGAGAGAGACGTGCGCACACACCCTGTGTGAGGGAGAGACTCGCATTGCCCCTTTAAGTACGCTGACCCCACGCCTTTTTAAGTAGATCAGCAAGTTGAGACAGCAGCTGCTGCCAGCAAGCTCCTTCTGTCCTGAGCCCTGTTGTGTGCCCCTCTGCCCTGTGGAGACAGGGCACAGGAATGGGGGAAGGTGGGACACCCTGACATCAGCTCTGCCCCCCCACCCTCCCAAGCAGGAGGCTCCTGGGAATAGCTCCAAGGCAGAGGACAGGAGCAGCACACGGCAGTGAGGGGAGGGACACCTGAATTGCCTGGCAATTCATAGCCTGCTGGGGGGCTGCCGGCCCACCCTGGTTCCAAGCCTACACCAGCTATCTCCAACGGGCTGGTCTTCCTGCAAGCAGTAGACAAAGCTGGCGGCTGCCAAACAACGTTATAAGGGAGCATTGTGCAACTTTAAACAAGCATGTTCTCTAATAGATCAGTGACATAACAATGTTAACCCAGACAATGTTAAGTGAGGAGTTACTGTACTGATAGCCAATGTGGTCTTTGGCAGTACCTCAGGTTAGCATTTGGCCCCATGCCAAACATTAGTGAGTCTAGAAAATGTGTTGGTTTTGTTCACCACACCCTTCTGAATCTGAATTTTTTTTTGTATTGCAGGAATGACACCAAGGAAGATGTGTTTGTACACCAGGTGAGTTACTTTTCTGCAGGTGGTAGTGCAGATACCTCTTTTTAGAACTAAAGCTTATTATGCTGACTTGGTGAACTGTACGAGTTGAAGCTTAACTGAAGGGAGGGGGAGCATATTAGATGCTGTGTTCACTGAAGAAATCTTAGTTCTCCAAGGTCATCTGCCTTAACACCATGGATTTTCATTCTGTGGGTACAAGTAGTACATCCGTATAGTTAAGGTTGCCAAACAGTCTCCATTGTAATCCTATATTTTTCATGCCTGGACAGTTTTATATTTACATATTTTATACTTAACTTGAAAACCTCATTATGTGCAAGTGTACGCTTCTTCCTTTAATCTGTTAAGATATTTTTGAAGAATTTTCAAAAGGATAAAGGAGAACTAGCAAAAAAAATTAAAAATCCAAATAAATGTTTGACTGTCCTTCATGAAGCTATTAAAAGTAGTCATGGGGGGAGAAGTAAAATTCTGTCATCAGTTAGAAACTGTAAGAATAAATGGAAAATTCACAGCATTTAAGTTGTGGAACTTGCTGGTGCAAGGTATTCGTGAAAGCTTAGTAGGATTTGAAAACTGCTTACACGAATGAGTGCCTGCACTTATATTTGACTAAAATCTTTGAGATAAAAACTTTAATCCCTTAAAGCATAAAGCAATTCACACCTGTTTAAATATTAACTAACAACCCAAAGGGCAGGCTCTTCCATAATGAACAAGCATGGGAGTTTTACACCTTCCTCTGAATATGATGCTGGGCAATCAGTAGAACCGGGTTAAAAAGAAAAAATGGACAGGTGGTCTGATGCATTATGGTAATTCCCATGTTCTACACACACAAGAGGACAGAACTGTGAGGATTCAGCTGTACTGTTTTATATTTCCTGACTTAAATGTATAAGTTATTTAAAATTCAAATTGTATTGAAGGACCCATGGCAATCTGAAAATCATACTTCTGGCTAAAAATCTTGAATTTAGGAAAGTTATAACACTTATAAGTACTACAGCTGAAAAGTTAGCAGTATTTCAGTTAACCTTGTGCAACTTACAAAACTTATTTACTATTTTCTGTGGCCAGTTAGCCAGGAATAAACTAACTGCAATGATAAAGGGAGCAGAATACCCTTCCTGTTTTTTAAGTAATTTCAGAAAGTGTATTGTGATATTTCTATTTTTTTTTGGTTAACTAGTAAGTTTTGGTCAGTTTCTGAGTGTCCTGAAATCTTCCAAAAAGTGTGTAACAGGATATATGACTGATCATCAAGAACATAGTAAAGCTTGACTGTATGCAAAGCGCTAGAAAATGAGCGAAGTAAATGGAAAATAAACTGAAACTAAATTTCAGTCTCTCTAATTACTTCTAAGATTGTGAAGTGAGAGATACTGATGAAACACTATATGAGAGCTAGTTATTAGGGTTTGTTTTGTTTTTTTAAATAATGTAATTTGATGGTGTTCTTTTAATATAGGCAGTGAGTACATGGTAACTAGCAATCAGTTTAGATCCAATTTGAAATAAATATAAAATCAGTGACTTTATAAGGTAAGAAGAAAAGGAGTACTAGTGGCACCTTAGACTAACCAATTTATTTGAGCATAAGCTTTCGTGAGCTACAACTCATTCATTGGATGCTGTAGCTCACGAAAGCTTATGCTCAAATAAATTGGTTAGTCTCTAAGGTGCCACTAGTACTCCTTCTCTTTTTGCAAATACAGACTAACACTGCTGCTACTCTGAAACCTGTCTTTATAAAGTAAATCTCTAATTTGATAGGTGTTTGAGGAAGATATAAGCTCTCTCCCATCCTGTTACCAATTTGGGTTCTTTTCAGACATCAGTTGTGCAGAGCAACTAGGGGAGCAGGCTCTCCTGGTGTCGTCTCAACACAACAGTAGATCAGTAGACTGAAAATTTGCAAATGTATTGTTACAGTGGATTTCATTCCCTCTGGGGCATGAAAATGCTGGGATGCTGTCAGCACTATTTCACTTTTGTGAAGTTCTCATGCTTGTGCTCTACTACTGAGCTCAAAAAGTGTTTGGTAAACAAAATGTGGTTTTGTGAGGGATTAGTGTGTACTGAGCATTTACAGGATTTATTAAAAATCTCTTCTGACTCCAGAAAACGTGGGGATTTTCAGTATGTAGTTGCACAGTCTGTTAGAAGCTGTAGGCTTGTTTCTGTAGTGTTGCAAGGTTAGACAGCCTAATCTTTATTTTAAAATATACTCAGAAATACAGGATTGAACACTTTTTCTGATCAGGGTGTAAACTAAGCTTTTTAAACAGCCTTGCGATGTTGTGGCTACAACTGATTTAAGAGGGAAGCAGTGCCTCAACTTCAGGCTGTCTTCAAGTTTGAACTGAAATGAGATCAGGCAATTGTTTTCCTCAACTGTAATTGTACCATTGCGTGTAGTACTTAGTGTGGTTTTACATTAGCTTATGCTCTTTAATTTTAGACCTCAATAGACTATATAGTAGAATAAACACTGCTGTGGAAACTTCAATGTCTCTTGCAAATTCTCAGCTGTAACAAAGGTTTTAGAATTTATAATCCAATAACAGCTATTTTCAAACTGATGGGCACTTAAATAGCTACACAGATACCCAAATAAGTGGCCTGACTTTAAAAGAGGTGAGTTCTCACAATTACAGACATGCAATGCCCCTCTACCATGTACATTGGTCAAACTGGACAGTCTCTACATAAAAGAATAAATGGACACAAATCAGATGTCAAGAACTATAACATTCATAAACCAGTCGGAGAACACTTCAATCTCTCTGGTCACGCGATTACAGACATGAAAGTTGCGATATTAGAACAGAAAAACTTCAAATCCAGACTCCAGCGAGAGACTGCTGAATTGGAATTCATTTGCAAATTGGATACAATTAACTTAAGCTTGAATAGAGACTGGGAGTGGCTAAGTCATTATGCAAGGTAACCTATTTTCCCTTGTTTTCCTAACACCACCACCCCCCCCCCCCCCCCCATGTTCTTGTTAAACCCTGGATTTGTGCTGGAAATGGCCCACCTTGATTATCATACACATTGTAAGGAGAGTGATCGCTTTAGATAAGCTATTACCAGCAGGAGAGTGGGGTGGGGGGAGAGAAAACCTTTTGTAGTGATAAACTCACCCATTTTTTCATGATGTGTGTGTAAAAACAAACATCTTCTGTATTTTCCACAGTATGCATCCGATGAAGTGAGCTGTAGCTCACGAAAGCTTATGCTCAAATAAATTGGTTAGTCTCTAAGGTGCCACAAGTAATCCTTTTCTTCTCACAGTTTCAGTGACTTCAGTGGGAGTTAAATGCGCTCAGTGCTTGGAAAAAAGGCCACTGATCTGGAAGTGTAAATTTGGGGCTGTATTTGGCCATATGCTTTTTTTAAAGTAGTCTCAGTTTTGTGGGAAATAATACAGTGTGATGGAATCCTGAATACACAAATTCCAGGGGCAAAGCGAACCTTTTTTCTTTTGTACAATCAGCATTGATTATTGAGAATCTTTTAAAATATTCCTGACAGTGATTTGGTTTTATCAGTTTGATTGCTTTATCTCATTTTTTTTTAATTCTTCAAGGCATGGCAGTTAAGTGGAGCAAAGCTTGCTGACAAGCATGCTCCTTGTTTTGACAGTACTGGACATGAGCAGGCTATTTGTTGTACTAATCCTGCATGCCCTGTTATATTGTCAGACTTATGGGAACCCTTATAGGCTAGTATCAGTGACTTTTGACACTTATCTGGTAGGTCTGCCTCCAATTAATTTAAATATTTGTAGCATTATTTTAAGATATATTAGAATGTTGCCACTGTAGTTGAATTTACATGTTACTGTAGGCAGTTTTGGGCGAGCACTTTTTGTTAGACATTTTCCCCTGTGAAATCTAGCATATTTCTGTTGAAACTAAAAGTTAGTTTATATGCTGATATTGCTGAATTTCTAGTTCAAGGAAGCACATTCTACCAAGGAAAACAGAATGTTCAAGTACATCCAAAATCTAGGAAATCTCTTCATATATCTTTACAATCTCTGCATGCTGTGCGTCTAAAGCTAATTCTGGAATATTGTGTTACTAGACTGCCATAAAGAAGAATAACCCCAGGAAGTACCTTCGCAGTGTAGGTGATGGAGAGACTGTGGAGTTTGATGTGGTGGAAGGTGAAAAGGTGAGCATATTCTCTAATATTAAAACTCACAGAAAAATTGATTTGCCATTTGGGCTGATGTTTGGTGGCTTCTTCTGAGTAGATGGCTAATGAGACAAGTTCAAGGAGGTTAAATTTTTTTCTCGCTTTCCAATATGTGTGCTCAGTTAATTGTGATTTACTTATGAGTCAGTTATGGCATGAGAATGTAACTTTTTTTCCTCTTCTGATCATTACTTAACACTATCACTCTGTTTTTAGGGTGCAGAGGCAGCTAATGTTACAGGTCCTGGTGGAGTTCCAGTACAAGGCAGTAAATACGCAGCAGACCGTAACCATTACAGACGGTATCCACGACGTAGGGGTCCTCCACGCAATTACCAGCAAAATTACCAGAACAGTGAGAGTGGGGAAAAGAACGAGGGATCAGATAGCATACCAGAAGGGCAAGCCCAACAGCGCCGTCCCTACCGCAGGCGGCGGTACCCACCTTACTATATGCGTAGACCCTATGGGCGTCGACCACAATATTCCAACCCTCCTGTGCAGGGAGAGATAGTGGAGGTAATTTTTGTATAACTTTTGATACTGTACTATCTTGCTTATAATGGAAGGGGTTGGGGCTTTTCAGCTACCTATATGTAGGATGTTGGGTTTGTTTCCTTTGACTGTGTAAGGTTTAGCAATACAAATGAGCTAAAGAGCAGAAATCTTGTTTGCCAGCAGACTGTCAATTCAAAAATGCTATAATTTAAGTATGAAATGTGAATCAGTTATTTTTTCAGATAGTTTTTTAATTATTTAAAGGTAACCGCCTAAACTAGACTCCACACATAATGCATCAGTTTGTGCCCCAGGACCTCTTTGGCGCTTACCAGATACTTTGCTCTTACCCAACAAAGATTCAGTGTGCCAAACTGCTACTATGGCTAATAGTGACTTCTAACTAGTTGGTTTAAGTCATTTAGTTCAGGGGTTCTCAACCTTTTGTTCCTGAGGGGGGCCCCTGCCCAACCTGCTATAAAAACTCCACAGCCCGCCTGTGCCACAACAGCTGATTTTCTGCATACAAAAGCCAGGGCCGGCATTAGCGGGTAGCAAGTAGGGCAATTGCCTGGGCTCCCCACAAAGCTTAAGTTGCTTGGGCTTTGGCTTCAGCCCTGCATGGCAAGGCTCAGGACCCCAGGCTTCAGCCCCATGCAGTGGGGCTTCGGCTTTCTGCCTTGGGCCCCAGCGAATCGAATGCCTGGCCGTGCTTGGAGGACTCCATGGAAACCTGCTTGTGTTCTTTCCTTCCTTCCCCCCCCCCCTCCCCCCCCCCCCCGGGCCCGTGACCCTTGGTTGAGAACCATTGATTTCGTTCACTCTTGTAGCTGGCTAAGTTGTCTTGATGTACATTATTTCAGGGTGCTGACAACCAGGGTGCAGGAGAACAAGGCAGACAGGTCAGACAGAATATGTATCGGGGTTACAGACCACGATTTCGCAGGTATGCTGCAGATCCACTTGTTATGTTATGAAATTTTGTTTATGTGCTAGAACACAGTGGTCAGAAGGTGCATCCTTAAAGCCTAGCTTGATTTTCAGGGGTCCTCCTCGTCAAAGACAGCCTAGGGAGGAAGGAAACGAAGAAGATAAAGAGAACCAAGGGGATGAGACCCAAGGTCAGCAGCCACCTCAACGTCGGTACCGTCGTAACTTCAACTACCGACGCAGACGCCCAGAGAACCCTAAACCACAAGATGGCAAAGAGACGAAGGCAGCCGAACCACCAGCTGAGAACACGTCCGCTCCCGAGGCTGAGCAGGGCGGGGCTGAGTAAATGCCGGCTTACCATCTCTACCATCATCCGGGTGGGTATTCTCATTCTTGTTTAACATATTCTACTATAATAGAGTTCCTTCAGAAGCTTTTTTTACTTCTAACCTACTTCAGGTTTTAACTGTTACAGCAGTTGTTTTCACTCTTGTACTTGTGATCCCTTTCACATAGCAAGCCTCTGAGTGCAAACCCCTAATAAATTAAAAACACTTTTTAATATATTTAATACCATTATAAATGCTGGAGGTAAAGCAGGGTTTTGGGTGGAGGCTGACTGTTAGCGACACCCCAGGTATAACCTTGTCAACCCCCTGAGGGGTCCTGACCCCCAGTTTGAGAACTCCTGTGTTATAATATGCATTTCTTGCAATTTGGATTTGGTGTGAATGCACATGTTGGGTAAAATGTCTTGTAACAGATTGCAGGTTCAAGTTCTTTCAACAGGACAGCTATAAACTAGGGGACTTAGCTGCAGGAGGTTTCTGATTTTAGATGGGATCTTAGCCATGTCCTGTACAAGGCTAGGCTTGGATGTGTTCAGTGCTTTAGCCTGGTGGCAGATATTTAGCTCTCATGTATGTTGCAAATAAGAATCATGTAAGTGCAGCAGTGGTTGTAATTGTATGTGAATGAGATCTTAGTCGCACCTTACAACTATATGGAACAAATATTGAAATAACCAAACATCTACAGGTAAAAGCAGCATTGTTTGCTAATTCTTTAAAAGATAAACCCTATTCTTGATGGACTTTTGGTAGAATTATGTAAGTAGTAGATGAATGGAACAGTGTTGGGCTAATTTTTGTATTTTAGTTACTCAACTGAAAAATTAACTCAAACTGGCTTGGATAGGGTCACTTTCAGATGGTCTGAAGACTGGTTGAAACACTTCCCACAAGGTCACAATAAGCACAATGTAGTGACATGTGGGAGATGTTCTAGTGGGGATATTGCAGATGCATTAGAATCAGTCCTCATCTGGAGGAGAGAATAGCAGTACATTAAACTTCTAGATAATACTAGATTGAGGAGTTGCTAAAATTGACTAGGATTGAGGAATAACCCAGGATGCTAGAGAGATGTGGACAGATTCAACTTGGAAAAACTAATACCTAGAGAATGTGAAACTGAATCTTGAGAAAGACCTAGCAATCATACGCAGCCAATTAGGAACAGTCTGCAATGTGGTATGCCAACAAAAAGCCAATGTCATGTTTGGATGCATGTGCAGAGACATCACATCAAAAAGCAGGGAGGCAACAAACAGTGCTTGGTGTGGCTGCCCTTTTGATACTGCATTTAGTTTTGGCCTTTGCTCTACCAGAGAGGAATGTTTCACTGGCCATGGCAAAGTTTGTAAAAATGAAAATTGGAATATGGCCTTTATTTAGTAACTAAACTTTTAGTTATCGTGAGAATAGGTCATTTCTAGGACCATCACTATTCCTGCCCTTTGTTTGTTTTCCTCAGATCTGCTTTTCTGTGTTTCTGTCCTTGTTCCTTGTCTTTAGATGTCCTCTGTTCTTTTTCATCTGTTTTCTCCGCTGCACCAACCTTTAGTTCCCACCCCATGGACTGCCACTCACCCTTCTGTGAAATAGTTATGGTAGACCAGTGGTCCTCAAATTTTTTAAGTCACGTTCCCCCCCATTATCCCCAAATGTAATTTTCCAATGCTCCTTCAGTTGCTGGGAGTGGGGCTATAGTCAGGGTTGGGGTGGAGCTGCATCCGGGGCTGGAGGCCGGGGCGGAGCAGGGCTAGGTGGTGCTCCCTCCCTGCCCCCCAGTCCACACTGCACCCCCCGAATGTTCCCCTGTGTCCCCCTGGGGGGGGCAGGCCTCGCAGTTTGGGGACCACTGATGTAGACACTCGTGTCATCATTAGTCTTCAGTATCAACACACCAAAGGGATTATTAGGGAATGCAGGAGTTTGCATCTGAGTTACTGTTTAAGGCCCTGTGATTCAGAAAGGCAAGACTGAGAGTCTGTTGTTCAGTTCACACTTTCAAGGTTGTACTCCTAACCATGAGGGCTAGAGACTCTTTTTAAATGAAAGTTTAGATTGTTGAATTTGCATGTCATACAGGTCCAGTTTACTTAATTGGACACCCCTGCTCTAGTTGTTCCTAGCAAAGAGCTTTCTATTAGCTGATAGATATGAACTCCCGTCATTCAGCGATGTGTTAATCTTAACACCTTTTGAGATGAAGTCAGATGGCGACTTTAGTTTCTCCTTAGCATGGACAGTAGTGCTCATCTATTCCTTGTATACTGAGAGATCTTTGGGCTCTTAAATGGCACTGCAGAGATAGCGGAACCAGGTTCTTTATTTCATTCTTCTCCTCCAGAAAAATTCCTCACCTGTGCCTTAAAGGGGAAAGAGATGCAGTATTTAAATGTCTTCTCAACAGCCACCAGGGGCCAAAAGCCTTAGGCTTCCACAGCAGCCAAAATGTTAGTCTTTCACCTGATCTATATGAGAGCTGCAGCACACTGTGAATTTAAAACATAGTACCAGTGTAAAATCAATTTTGGTACAATCCTTCTCAAATAATATTGTAAGTCTCTGGAAACAGAGGATGGGAATGAGGGGAGAATCGGGAAGGGGAAGTGCGCTGCCACATAGCCTAGGGTCAAATGCAGCGTAGGACCCAATAGATAAGTGGCTTCCTAACAAAAAGTAGGCAGTTTTGATATGCAGTGAGTAACATAGTGGCACATAGTCAACTCCAGGCTCTAGTCACAATAATGGGGAAAAGGTCTAAGCTAACACTGCGTAGGAAGGATGGCAAGAGACCACCAGGGATTAACCAGGAGATCTTCAGTGATCTGAAACTCAAGAGTCCTACAAAAAGTGGAAACTAGGTCAAATTACAAAGGATGAATATAACAACACAAGTATGTAGGGACAAAATTAGAAAGGCCAAGGCACAAACTGAGATCAAACTAGCTAGAGAGACAAAGAGGAAGAAGAAAATGTTCTACAAATACATTGGAAGCAAGAGAAAGACCAAGGACAGGGTAGGCCCATTATTGAATTGCAGGGGGACAATAACAGAAAATGTAGAAATGGCAAAGGTACTTAATGACTTCTTTGACTCAGTTTTCAGCAAGAAGGTTGGGGGTGATTGGATATCTAACAGTGCATGCCAGTGAAAATGGAGTAGGATCAGAGGCTAAAATAGGGAAAACAAGTTAAAAATTACTTAACACGAGTAAGATATTTTCAAGTCACCAGGGCCTGATGAAATGCATCCTAGAGTACTCAAGGAGCTGACTGAGGAGATAGCTGAGACATTTGCGATTATCTTTGAAAAGTCATGGAAGACGGGAGAGATTCCAGAAGATTGGAAAAGGACAAATATAGTGCCCATCTATAAAAAGGGAAATAAGGACAAGCTGGGGACTTACAGACCAGTTAGCTAAACTTCTGTACCCAGAAAGATAATGGAGCAAATAATTAAGCAATCAGTTTGCAAACACATGGAAGATAATAAGGTGATAAGTAACAGCATGGATTTGTCAAGAACAAATTGTGTAACACTGTTGCCAAAAAGCGAACATTAGTAGGAGTGGTGTAAGCAAGACATGAGAAGTAAGTCTTCCACTCTACTCCTCTCTGATTAGTATTGTGTCCAGTTCTGGGCACCACATTTCAGGAAAGATGTGGACAAATTGGAGAAAGTACAGAGAAGAGCAACAAAAATGATTAAAGGTCTAGAAAACATGACCTATGAGAGAAAATTTGGGGGTGCGGACTGACCTATGAGAGAGGTTGGGGTGGGGGAAATGGGTTTGTTTAGTCTGGAAAATAGAAGACTTAGAGGGGACATAACAGTTTTCAAGTACTTAAAAAGTTGTTACAAGAAGGAGGGAGAAAAGTTGTCCTCTTTAACGTCTGAGGAAAGGACAAGAAGCAATGGGCTTAAATTGCAGCAAGGGAGGTTTAGGTTGGACATGAGGAAAAAATTCCTAACTGTCAGGGTGGTTAAGCACTGGAATAAATTGCCTAGGGAGGTTGTGAAATCTTTATCATGGGAGATTAAGAGTAGGTTAAACACACCTGTCGGGTGGGCAAACTATGGCCCTTCAGACATTTTAATCCGGCCCTCAAGCTCCAGAGTGGGGTCTGGGGCTTGCCCTGTTCCGCGCATGCTGGGCCTGACTCCATGTGGCTTCTGGAAGCAGTAGCATGTCCCCCTCTTCCCCGCCCCCCCACTCCTCCTACATGTAGGGGCAACCAGGCAGCTCCGCACATTGCCCTTGCAGTTCCCATTGGCTGGCAACTGCGGCCAATGGGAGCTGCAGGGGCAGTGCCTGCGAACGGGGCAGTGCGAAGAGTTGCCTGGCCACACCTCCGCATAGGAGCCAGAGGGAGGATATGCTGCTTGAGGTAAGTGCTGCCTGGAGCCTGCACCCCTGACCCCCACCTACGCCCCAACCCCCTGCCTCAGCCCTGATCCCCCTGCTGCCCTCCAAACCCTTTGGTTCCAGCCCCTCTTCCCCAGCCCCACCCCAGAATCCACACCCCCCAGCCAAAGCCCTCACCCCCTCCTGTACCCCAATCCCCAATTTTGTGAGCATTCATGGCCCACCATACAATTTCCATACCTAGATGTGGCCCTCAGGCCAAAATGTTTGCCCACTCCTGGTCTAGATACTACTTAGTCCTGCCATGAGTGCAGCTGATTGGACTAGATGACCTGTTGAGGTCTCTTCCAGTCCTACAATTTGTGCACCTTTCTTAAGTGTTCTACGAATCCATGTTGAATTAATATTGCAAATGATCTTATCACCAGAAACACTTAAGCCTCCAACACACATCTTTGATAGTCTTTTTCCTTTCCCAGTTTAGTCATCAAAGAAGAAAAGAATATGAAATAAAGAGAAGAATATGAAATTCCAGCAATAAGAAATGAACAAAAGAATTGGAACTGAAGACCTTAAGTGCTTGCTTTTTGCTGTTGACCAGATAACTAGACTATCTGCATTATCTATGCAGCATGGGATTTTTATTATTTTTACCTGAAG